AAGTAAAATGAGTGTTACATTTCTTTTTCCCTCATTTGTTTTATACTTACATTTTGCTCACAGGCTCTGTCTGCCTATTTCCAGATTTGCAAGTCACAATGTTTTAGCTCCAGAATGGCCAGTTGTATAACTGTGAAGGAGCTGATAGCTGCAAGATGTGAAGTCGAAATGTGCACTTTAGGGTGACAACACTCCCATTTCACATACACAGGCGCATATCAATTTGCATTGTCAAGCTAGGAGAAAAAGTTGCAGAAAAGACAGGATCACCAGGTAACATAGTCTTTTAAGGCAAACATTTAGAAGAAAAGAACATGCTTAATGGAGACACTGAGGATAAGCTGCCATGTCATTTCATTTTTCATTTAGGGTTTAGTTTAATCTGAAAAAATGAGCTGGAGTTAATTGGTGATATGGTTTAAACGTCTAGTTTCTGAAGTTTGAAATGCAGCACACAGGGCTGTTCTGTAGTCACTGCACTACTTTCTTTTTATTCTCTAAAACCACCAAGAAAGGAGAGGAAAAAACACTAATAGAAAAGGCTGAACACTTAAATGTACCACTTCACCAGTATAATCCCCTCATACTTGTCAATTCGAAATCCACAAATAGGCTGCCTAATGTTCAAGTGAAGCCAAAATAGAAGCTCTAATTAAAAAGATGATGTTTAGAAGGTAAAATTATTTCCCCATACCACTTGTACTCATCATGAGGATAGACTTTAATTAACAAGTCTGTCTTATTAGCACTGTTGTATAGTGTATGGCAGATCTAAATCAAAATAGGTTTAAAAATGTGGTTTCGTTTTTTTCCTCTTCCCTATCCCATAGGGATTACACTTTAGAAGAATAATTAATTTTGAATGTTTCGCTAGCATCTGCCATTCGTGATTGAACATTTTTAAGTGAATGTCATCAACAAATTTATTTCTTCAATTTTGTGTAAATGAAAAAGTTGAAAACAAAGATGAGCACCTTATGTATAGAACTAATTTATGTATTTAATGTTTTGTTCCACTGAAAATCCACTGCAAGCATAGCCTTTTCTTTTCTTTTCTCTGGTTCCGATATATTTTTATATTAAAGGAGAAGTAGCACTAAAGCTCTTTTGGCCCTATTTCTCATGTGGGTTACAGGAGTGCACTTTGTTCTGCACTCCTGTGACCTATATTCAGCTGATAGCAGGCTAAAGTCTGCAGTTGGCTGATATCATTGAGCTGGCCTATGATCTGGAGAGATCCCGACTTTAATGTCAGGATCCACCCAGATACCTGGACGGGATGCTGGCTCAGCCTCTCAGAGCATCGCTGAGAGCCTGAGCCAACAGATTCCACCCCCCTACAGCCTGATGCTCCAATGAGTGCTGAAGGGGCAGAGCAGAGAGCCATTGACTGATGTTTATTGCTCACTGCTCACTGTAGACCAAGAACTGAGTGATCAGCAGTCTTTATTCACTAAGTTCTCTGTCTTAGAGGTGACAGATGTAGCATGCAGTAGTACTATGTAGTAGGGAATATGAATGTTTGTTTTTTTAATTCGCATTGACATTGCCTCCATCTAGATGAGTATGAATGTTTGTTTTTTTTATTCCCAAACTTCTCTTTTAACCGCTTGCCAACCGCACTATAGCCGAATGATGGCTACAGCATCCAGTTCAGTTCTGGGAGGGCATCATATGATGTCCTCCCAGAACGCGCCCTCCCACACGCCCTCAGCGATGCACACCCGGTGCTCTCTGTGATCGCTGTGTCCTACGGACACAGCTGATCACATGATGAGGTAAAAGGCCAATCACAGTGGGGGCTATTATCTGTGATGTGCTGAAGGCCAGCAGGATTTCCTTAGGAGAGCAAGATGCGGATCTTCTATGTATATCATAATAAAGTGTTTTTTGACCACCTTAACCGGAGTCAAATACTTCCGGAGAGTGAGAAATTCACTAATTTCATCTGCACGAGGTGAAAGCACACACAGTTTTGGTCCACAGCAACATATCTTGAAGGAACTATCACCATAAATATTGTGATTATTTCTTTCACGTCCACTAATGTTAAATGTGCACTATTGTATAGATTTAATTGGGAGTTTTTACTAGCACACTTTGTATTAGTTGCTATAAGATACAGAGATATGTTTTGTTGAATATATGTTATATGGTTGTACAGCGCCTATCTATTCATGATTGTTAATAATTATAGTTACCACAAATGCTGCTACATGTTATACTATTGTAGAGCTCTAAAGCATACACTATTGTATGAAAATCACTGTTGTCCTTCAAATGAACTTGTCAAGTGCCTAATGAAACCTATCGATAAACTGTAGTTACATAGTGGTACCTCCAAATAACGTTTATAATATTTTAGTCAATGTTAATGCCTATGCTCTACAAGTTGTTTGCAGGGCTTGAATATCTGTACACGCTATATGCCCTATACAGGCTTTGATACTGGACTGGTGAATAGTAAGTGTACTGGGTTGCACCATTTTAGGTAAAGAATCTTTTTTTAACCACTTGCTACCCGCTAACAGTACATATACTGCCAGCAGGCAGCACAGCCAGGCTGGGCAACATAATGGTATGTAGTCCAGCACATGCGCACTAGTGTACCCCATGGGCTGCACAGCGGCGCAATCCTATGACCGCTATGTACAGTGGACACAGTGGATCGCAATGCTAGGTATGATTTGCCATAGCAATCACATGATTACAATGTAAACAAAACAATCATGACTGGTTTCCATTCATGGCTGCTTGCTTAGTGTTATGAAGCTGTGAATGGCCCACAGCTCTCACATGGTGCCAGACACCTTGTGTGATTAGCTGTAGACAATCACAGCATGTCAACAGCAAGCAAGCTGTCATGAAATGGAAAGCCATTCAAGACAGCTAACTTTTTCTTGTAACAGTGAACATTACTGTTATAAGCAATAACAGTATAAAAATGCTGATTATCACACCAGAGTAGTACAGTGTCACTATGGTACAAAAAAAAAATATAACAATAAATTATTATCTGACCATCACCACACCAGTCATATGATGATGCTGTACTGTACTGGTGATAGTATGTAAAAATAATTGTGGAAAAAAACACATTTTTTTTTTATTTCTTCTTTTCCTAAAATAATGTGAGAAAAAATTACAACTTAAAAAAACTTGCCATGTCTCTTACTAAATACCTCAGACTGTCTACTTTCCAAAAGGGGGCCATTTGGGGGGTATTCGTACTATCCTGGCTTATGTACTATAGTTTGTAGACACCATAACTTTCACACAGACTAAATAATATACATACATGATTTGTGATTTGGGTTATTTTTGCCCAAAGAATTTAGTAAAATACATTTTGGCCTAAATATATGAAGAAGGACTATTTATTTGCCACATTTTAAAAGAGAGAAACTAAGAAAAACATATTTAGAAAAAAATATATAATAGAAAACTAAAAAAAAGTGTGGTAATTAAATACCCAGAAGAAAGCTCTATTTGTGTGAAAAAAATGATAACAATGTAATTTAGGTACAGTGTTGCATGACCAAGCAACTCCCAATTAAAGTAGCACAATGCTGAATCACAAACCCCCTGGTCATGAAGGGGTAAAACCTTCTGGAGGTCAAGCGGTTAAAGTGCACACCAATTATCTACTCCCACTCAGAAAAGTATAACATCCTCCAGCATGATATAATCTACCAGTGTTGTATAATATCACCTTCCAGAATAATATGTTCCATCATAATATGATAAATAATACATTTTTTTGTGCATTTACTCATAATGAATGATTAGGATAAGGATTGCTTAGAGATACAGCAATAGTTTGGAGGTTAAATGTGTGGTGGTTGAGTATAAAAGTTTAAGGGTTAAAGCAAAACTAAAGACTCCTGTTTGACAGTCTAAAGAAGTTCCAAATCCAGTTACTATGTCTCATACATAAACAAATATGTCCTTTATCTTCCCTGAATGAGCAAAATCCTCTTTCATCTGTGTCTCAAGTGCACCTCCTCCCAGACACTGCAGATCCCAGTGGGAACGTTTCGGCAACAGGGGCAGCACTATCAATTCAGAAAGCAGTGGTCAGGACTAGGGACTTTGCAGAGAAAAAACTGAAAGTGCAGATGCAATTATAATTAAGTGCTGAAGCACACCTTTTTTTAATGGAAGACCATAGTTCTAAGTTAGGTGTTAGGAGGACTGGTTTAGAATATGGTGAGAGTATATGGGTTAAGGGTTTGGGGAGTTTGGTTTAGAACAGGGTAATAGTTTAGGCAATTATGGCTTTAGAGAGTTAGGGATAAGCTTTTATTCACTGCCTGTGGTCTACCTTTTCATTTCAATTATTTTTATTGCTGAAATGTGTAAATATTTGCTCAGACAACTAGCAACACAAATGTTGTAGGGATGTTGTATGTTTTTCATGGGTGAGGTTAAAGGCTCCAGGTTTTATATGCTCATAGGCTTCTGATATATAAATCTAAACCTGATGGTAACAGTTATTTTCTCTATACAGCTGTATACCTGTAGAACAGGAGTCTCCAAACTTTATCAACAAAAGGGCATATCAAGAGAGACTTCAGGAACTTAATATGTACAGCCTAAAGGAAAGAAGAGAAAGGGGAGACATGGCTGTAACCTTTAAATACATCACAGGGGTGAATAAAGTTCAAGAGGGCAGTATTTTCAATATGAAACCAAAATCAAGAACACGGGAACATGACCTCAAACTAACAGGAGGAAATGTCAAAACTGATCTTAGAAAGTATTAGAATAGAATTCTAGGATATATATTCTTAGTGAGAGCTCATTTAGAATACTGTGTCCAGTTCTGGAGACCTCATTTACAAAAAGATATTGATAAGATAATAAGTAGAGATGAGCGAAGTATTCAAAAAAATCGATTCGGCTGATTCGGCGAATTCGAGGAATAAATTCGATTCGATGCGAATATATTCGCTGCGAATTTAACTTATAAAAAGGTGTTTCTAGGCTTCAGAGAGCCTTTATATTAGTGCAGAACACTGTACCTTTAATTTAAATGCCCTTGGAGTCCGCTGGGGAAGAGAAATAATACTGTCAGTCAGTATGACATGCAGATGAGTGCCGTCGATCTTAGAATCACCGCACACTTCACTCATTTGGGTAGTCACGGGGCCAAAACCAGAGTGTGGAGCCACAGTGTGGCGGTGGAGGCAGCAGCAATGGGAGGCCATACAGCACCCTATGACAAAATGGAACCCACCAGCAGTGTGAGGAGACCTGAAAGTGGCACATGGCAGAGTGTGGCGATGGAGACAGCAGCAATGGGAGGCCGTACAGGGACCCATGACAGATTACGGGCCTGGCAGCAGCATGAGGAGGCGGTACAGGGGCCCATGACAGATTACGGGCCTGGCAGCAGCAATGGGAGGCCCGTAATCTGCCAGCACCCTATGACAAAATGGAACCCACCAACAGTGTAAGGAGACCTGAAAATGGCACATGGCAGAGTGTGTGTGGCGATGAAGTCAGCAGCAATGGGAGGCCGTACAGGGACCCATGACACACTCTGGACCTGGCAGCATCAAGAGGAGGGGAAGCGGTACAGGGGCCCATGGCAGAGTGGCGAAGCGTAAGCAGGTTAAATTGAAGGCCATACAGAGGCCTATGTTAAAAATAATAACATGTTTGGGGCATGATTCATGGCGGATTTAGTCAGTTGTGTCAGGAACTGGTGGTTTGAAATCGAGACTAATCCACGCCTGATTCATTTTCACAAACGTGAGTCTCTCCACACTTTGGGTGGACAGTCGTGTCCTCCGCGGAGTTACAATACCTCCTGCCTGGCCGGGCATGACAGCCTTTCAAGGGCAAATTCAGCTAGTTGGGCCAAAGGTCAAGTTTCGTTGCCCCAGTAGTCAAGGGGATTGTCTACCTCGGTTGGCAGGGTACTGTCCAAGTAGGCCCGAGGCTGTTGTTTTGAGGTCCTGCTCCAGGTCCACCTGATGCTGCTGCTGCTGCGGCTGGTTAGTAGTTTCCTCACTGCGCTGGTGAAGAAAGCTACTCATCATCGACTGCAGACTGAGGCAGCTGCTGCTGGTGGAGCTGCCACTGCTCCTACCACCCCACCCCCTCCCCTGCTGCCATGGCAGCGGAACGCGAGCGCACAGGGCCCACAGTGTCTGAGGATGGACGTTGGCGCAGAAAGGCAGAGACCAACTGACTACATAGGTGGTTTTTATAGTACGTTATTTTGGGCTCCCTCTCAGCAGGTGTGAAAAAGGCCACCATTTTTGAACGGTACGAGGGTCCAACAAGGTGGACAGCCAAAAGTCATCCCTCTGTCTGATAATTATTATTCGGCTGTCGCTACGCAAGCAACCGAGCATGCTATGGGCCATTTGTGCCAAGGAATGCGAGGACTCCCTGCCTCCATCTCCACACAGCATACTGCCACGTGCGTCTGGGTCCTCTGTCTCCTCCTCCTCCTCCTCTACCAGATGCTCCTGCTCCTCCACTCCTGTCCGCTGAGTGGAAAAACCACCCATTTCACTCAATAATTCCTGAGCACCCAATGTCCTCCTCTACCTCCTCCTCTTCTTCCTGTCCTGCCCCCACAGGGGTCATGTGGCATTGAGATCTGTGCGCCACGTCTACCGCACCCTGACCAGCCATTGTTAACAGCATTTGTTCCAGGACGTGCAACAGAGGAATGACGTCGTTCATCCCATAGTCCTGCCGACTCACGAATAGCGTGGCCTCCTCAAAGGGCCTGAGCAAGCGGCAGGTGTCACGCATGAGCTGCCAATGACTGACATCTAAGTTACACAGGGGAGTACCTTTATCCGCTTGTAACATCAGGAAATCAGTGATGGCCTTTCGCTGTTCGTAAAGGCGGTTAACATATGTAGGGTTGAATTCCACCTTGTTGCAACGTCACAGCATGGAGGAGTCGGTACGGGGGCCCATGGCAGATTACGGGCCTGGCAGCAGCAATGGGAGGCCCGTAATCTGCCAGCACCCTATGACAAAATGGAACACACCATGCAGTGTGAGGAGACCTGAAAGTGGCACATTGCAGAGTGTGTCGCGATGGAGACAGCAGCAAGCACATTGGAGGCCGTACAGGGACCCATGAGAGACTCTGGACCTGGCAGCAGCATGAGGAGGCGGTACGGGGGCCCATGGCAGATTACAGGCCTGGCAGCAGCAATGGGAGGCCCGTAATCTGCCAGCACCCTATGACAAAAAATGGAACACACCAGCAGTGTGAGGAGACCTGAAAGTGGCACATGGCAGAGTGTGGCGATGGAGGAGACAGCAGCAATGGGAGGCCGTACAGGGACCCATGAGAGACTCTGGACCTGGCAGCAGCATTTGAGGAGGCGATACAAGGGGCCCATGGCAGATTACAGGGCCTGGCAGAGCAGCAATGGGAGGCCCGTAAATCTGCCAGCACCCTATGACAAATGGAACACACCAGCAGTGTGAGGAGACCTGAAAGTGGCACATGGCAGAGTGTGGCGATGGAGACAGCAGCAATGGGAGGCAGTACAGGGACCCATGAGACACTCTGGACCTGGCAGCAGCATGAGGAGGCGGCGGTACGGGGGCCCATGGCAGATTAGGGCCTGGCAGCAGCAATGGGAGGCCCGTAATCTGCCAGCACCCTATGACAAAATGGAACACACCAGCAGTGTGAGGAGACCTGAAAGTGGCACATGGCAGAGTGTGGCGATGGAGACAGCAGCAATGGGAGGCCGTTACAGGGACCCATGAGAGACTCTGGACCTGGCAGCAGCATGAGGAGGCGGGGGTACGGGGGCCCATGGCAGATTACGGGCCTGGCCAGCAGCAATGGGAGGCCCGTAATCTGCCAGCACCCTATGACAAAATGGAACACACCAGCAGTGTGAGGAGACCTGAAAGTGGCACATGGCAGAGTGTTGTGGCGATGGAGGACAGCAGCAATGGGAGGCCGTACAGGGACCCATGAGAGACTCTGGACCTGGCAAGCAGCATGAGGAGGCGGGGATACGGGGGCCCATGGCAGATTACGGGCCTGGCAGCAGCAATGGGAGGCCTGTAATCTGCCAGCACCCTATGACAAAAAAATGGAACACACCAGCAGTGTGAGGAGACTGAAAGTGGCACATGGCACAGAGTGTGGCGATGGAGACAGCAGCAATGGGAGGCCGTACAGGGACCAGCATGAGAGACTCTGGTTACCTGGCAGCAGCATGAGGAGGCGGTACAGGGGCCCATGGCAGATTACGGGCCTGGGCAGCAGCAATGGGAGGCCCGTAATCTGCCAGCACCCTATGACAAAAATGGAACACACCAGCAGTGTGAGGAGACCTGAAAGTGGCACATGGCAGAGTGTGGCGATGGAGACAGCAGCAATGGGAGGCCGTTCTTACAAGGGACCCATGGAGACACTCTGGACCTGGCAGCAGCATGAGGAGGCGGTGGTACAGGGGCCCATGGCCAGATTACGGCCTGGCAGCAGCAATGGGAGGCCCGTAATCTGCCAGCACCCTATGACAAAAAATGGAACCCCCAGCACCAGCAGTGTGAGGAGGACCTGGGAAAGTGGCACCTCAGGGCACATGGCAGAGTGTGTGGAGGCGATGGAGACAGCAGCAATGGGAGGGCCGTACAGGGACCCATGAGAGACTCTGGAGCCTGGCAGCAGCATGAGGAGGCGGTTTGGGTACAGGGGCCCATGGCAGATTACGGGGCCTGGCAGCAGCAATGGGAGGCCCGTAATCTGCCAGACCCTATGACAAAATGGAATCAACACAGCCAGTGTGTGAGGAGGGAGACCTGAAAGTGGCACATGGCAGAGTGTGCGATGGAGACAGCAGCATTGGGAGGCCGTACAGGGACCCATGAGAGACTCTGGACCTGGCAGCAGCATGAGGAGGTGGTAACAGGGGCCCATGGCAGATTACGGGCCCTGGCAGCAGCAATGGGAGGCCCGTAATTGCCAGCACCCTATGACAAAATGGAACACACTAGCCAGTGTGA